ACGAGAGTGAGCACACTGTACTGTGTACATGTGGTGACAGAGCCTGACTCAAGGGGAAAGGCTGTGCTGAGGGGCTGTGAGAGGAAGAGCAGGCTGCAAAGGTTAAGTGTGTGTGTGTTGGGCAGAGGGGATCACCTGATGACTGGGCACAGGCGAAGGCTGCATTTCTGAAGATCACCACGGTGTCCATGTGGAGAATGGCCACATAGAGGAAGGCCTGGATGTGGCAGCCTGGAGGCAGGGAGACCAGGGAGAATTGGTGAGGGCTGACCTAGGGTATTGGAAGTGGAGATGGGAGGGAGAGAAACTGTGAAGGATAGGCAGACAGACAGACAGACAGACAGACAGAGAGCAGGGCTTGAAAACTAGATGGCAGGAGTCAGGCAGAGGAGAGTTAAAGATGATGATATGGTACACACAAGGGACAGTGCTAACAGCAAACCCACCAACAGATACAGATCTGCTGGGAAAAAGAGCTTCGGAGGAGAAAGAGTGAGCACCCCTTGAAGAGCCTCACACAGAACCAGGCACCTAGCCGGCCCCTGGTCACTGATGGAGGCGTGGGTGAGGTGGACAGATGGATAGTGTCTTCCAGGTGTATCGAGTTTGATCTGTGGGCCATTCATGGAGGGGCCATATGTTCTCATGGGGCTGTTCTCTTGGCCCCACAGGCAGACTTGCCCCTTGTCACTGGCTGCTGGTTGCTGGAGACAGGACTGCGAGCTAGTGACTCCACTGGGAGACCCTCTCTGCAGCGCTAATTTCATATTCCAAGAGGATACTGGGTCAAATTGAATTGATATTGGTTGGCTCAGAAAAGCTCTTGAAAAGCTTCCAGCCTTATATTAGAGAAAAAGCCAGAGAGAAACTCTTTTCCCTCTCACTGTGGTCCATTAGTATGATTAGTAATAAATATTCCCAGGCACTTGACATTGGCAAGATGCCATATCATCACTGTTTGTTACTACCCACTTGCTATCTGGAGCTGTGTAGTCTGACCACTGAGGTACAGGGGTGATACGAATCTTAAAATGCATCTCCTTAGGTTTGCCAGGCACAGTCAGGTTGGTGGAAAGAAGGTGAACTTTGGACTCACAAGACCTGGGCCCAAATTCCTGCCCCTTCATCAACAAGTGATGTGACTTTTGGATAAGTCATTTCACTCCTTAGAGCCTCATTTTCCTCATTTCTACCTTTGAAGTTTCTTGTTAAATATTAAATTGGCCTTCCCTCTGCTCAGCACATGATAGGTGCCTTGTTTACGTTATCTTCTTCCTTTTCACCCAAACCCTGGCTTTTGTTTCTAAGAAGTGGGTAGAAGACAGAAGATAGTTTAAAGATTTCCCTACTGCTGCAGTTTGTACTTTCAGCCATATTTTACCAAGAAAACCTCTTCCCCTGGGGGAGACAGCAGTATATTCTGCCTATGCTCTTGTTTGTGTAAAGGGTATGCCTAGCCTAGTGCTTGGGCTACTGACCTGTGCGAAGGAAGAGAGAGAAGAAGCCTCAGAGTGTGTGGACTCAAGCTAATGTTTGTCTTCACCTCTCTGCCTCATTTCTCCTCTAAGAATGGAGCAGAAGAGTAACCTTGGAGGTTTAGTTAATTCCTTTCCCAAACATCAGCCATGAGCAATTGTACTGAGTGAAGCAGAAGAGATCTAATTTAGATGTTAAAGGACTTTTCGAGAGCGATGAAAATGAAAAGCAGCCCCCAGAAAGTTCTGAGTGATGAAGAATTTTCAACTACCATCCAATAGATTGGGGGCAGGTGCTTTCTTATTCAAAGTATTCCTGGGATTCAGAACTGCTCCCTACCCAGTATCTCTCAGGTATTGACACTCCTAAACTATTGCGTCCTCTGAAGGAGGAATGCCATTTAAAATGCAGAAGGTTCTTTGTTGCAGTGAGCTTAGATCTTGGGTAGGAGGCGATTACAAGTCCAATCTCATTTCCTGTTGAGCTTGGCATAGGCTTTCACATAAATCAGCCTTATGCAGGTCCTGTTTGCTGTTCCTTGACTTTCACACTCAAACTTGCTGCAGTTCCAGAACAGTCCCAGCTGCCTAAGATTCCTAGGCCTTTTCCACCTATACCTCATATCTGGCCTTAACGCCAGGGTCAAATTTTCTCATTTTGCATTACTCTCTGATTTAGATGCCCCCAGCTTTGTTGGAATCCAACTCCAGAATGTCCCTGCACCACCCTCTCCTCATACTGGTCCTCATATGGCTTTACTGCTTGAAAAATATTTGCCTGTTGTTCCTTGAACTTTCTAAATTCAGCTTTTCTAAATTCATACCTCTTACTTCCCTTACCAAGGGTAGGTTAGTCCTTATTACCATGTTTTCTCTCTACAAACACTAACATAAACCTCATCATATATACACCTAATTGTGGGGATTACTCTGGTCCTAGGGAGATTAAGCTAACTCTCAGTTCACATGGGATCATAGTAAGGAGTGAGGTGGGGGAGAAATCAGAAGTTCTTACTGTATAGGCATAAAGTGTTTTACAAAGAGATAGGAAACAAAGGTGTGTTTCCCTGACATCTTGAAGATCAAGAGAGGAAGCACCTCAGATGCCTCTGCTCTGCTCTGCTATGGAGATAAGGGGGGCTAACTGAGATGGGTCCCTCCTAGCCAATGAGTTTCAAGTCTAACCTTCAACCAATATCCAGCTGCTTGACCATAATCACCATAACCATCTTCTTTCCAGTGAAGTGGGAGGGGAGACACTACTTCCATGGTTCTAACCTTCAAAATTTCTTGTTTGTATTATTGCAACAGCTTAACTGAACTCTTTATCTTCTCTTTTACACCCTGAATTCATTCCCACACTGGCAGCCTGATCTTGGGTAAGCCCTTTCCTCTTTCTGATCCTCTGTTCCCTTGAGCTTAATAGAAGCTGGACTAAACAGTTTCTAATAGTTTATGCTTTCTTCCCATTTCCCACCCTTCTCTTTCCCAGGAGGCCAACCCCTCTTTCCATCAATTTCTTCAGCTTCCCCACCCTCTGAGACCCCTTCCCCTACTTGGACTCCTGTGACTCTTTTCCCTTTTAATAGTGTGTTCAGCTGCTTGACATTCCCTAACCAGTGCTCTGGCTCTCTCTGGCGCTGTTGTGGTAATACTACAAAGAACACCTATATACCCTTTGCCTACACTGAGCAATTGTTTCAAATTTCCTATTTTTGATCCCATCACAAAAACAAATTCTCTCTCTCTCTCTCTCTCTCTCTCTCTCTCTTTCTCTCTCTGTACTGAGGCGGGGGTGGGAAGATTTTGACATGGGATGTGGGGAATGACACACAGGGGATTTCCACTTTCCAGAATGTATAATGAAAGCTGGAATCTCCAATCAACTTTCCCTTTCCCTTTAGGCACTTAGCCTAATTCCAGGCCCCTGTGGGATCTAGGAGAATATGAATGAGGGAATCAGTGAGTTCTTCAAACTTCTGGGAAAAAAGAGCCACGGCACTGTCAAATAATGTGATTGGCCGCCATAGCTACCCCTGCTGCTGAGGCTTTCTGAGGAGTGCTGTTCTTCCTCAGGTCAAATGCTCAGCTTGAAGAAATGGTTTGGGTAGGGAACTTTGTTTACCTTAGCAAACAACAATGGATCTTGGCAGCCATGAAAGAAACTGAGGAATATTGACTCATGGACACTCTTGAACTGGGAAAGCAGAGGAATAGGAAATAGGACTACTGATTCTTTAGCGCAAATGCAAGGCCAGTCTTTATGTAACCTGCTAGACTCATCTATTGTCCTAAGGAGTCTACTTCCTTTCTCATCCTTTTATTATGTCAAAGTAGTAAAGGACCTTGGAAGCCCAAAAGTCCAGCCTTTTCTTGTTACAGAAGGGAAAACTCAAGCCCAGAGAGGCGGAGCGACTTACCCAAGGCCACACAATTAGTTAAAGGCAAAACTACAACTAGAAGCCAGGTATCCTGACCATCCCTCTCAAATATCCTTTTCACTGCTCTAAGTTGGCTCATCATCCTGAAATATGTGGTGCTCTACCTCACAAAAAATATTCAGAACAGCTGCCAGTGGATAGAAAAAAAGGCTATGCACAGCCACTCTCAAACTAAAACTCAGACTTAACCAGATACCTGCTACAGTCTAGAACACTGCTGTCCTGGGATTCTGTGACCTTGACAGAAAGTTGAAAGGGTGATGGCACACACATCTCAAGGGAGTGGACTGGGGGTGCCTCTAACTTGGGAGAATCGTGGCCTTATCAGAAAGTGAGTATATCAATGACTGTGTTGAGGAGGAGCTAAAGGATCAAGACATTGATTTGAAGAAAGGGGAGACTGGAATTTGAAGAAAGGAAAGTAGTAGAGGACAGATATGTGGAAAAAGAGTCCAATTCTTATAAAAATGAAGATTGAGCAGGAGGGGGAGGAAATATGATGGGAAAAGGGATATAGAGTCCTACAAAAGAGAACAGATGAAGTGTTGGAACAGCTGAGGCAGCTTATCCAAGACAAGTTTTAGGAGGACATGGGATCTTCAGACCTCTGAGGAGTTGTGAGGGACAGCAGGGGATATTTGTGGCCCCAGGAAGCAGATGCGAGATCCACAGGCAGAAGCCACAGAGAAAAGGAGTTCAGATATACATAGGAAGAACTTTCTAAGAGTCATAGCTGTCTCTAGAGGGAACGGACACTTTTGATAGGTAGCGAGCTCCCCATCAGTGGAAAGTTGCAGTCAGGGGCTGCTTAAGTCTCTGCCAGGGTGCGGCCCAGGGTCTGGCTCTGCTTGGGGGTGGGGCCGCATGGCTGGGATGGCCCGGATGCGAAGGGCTAGGGGCTGTGAAGGAGGTGGGAGAGAGACAGGGTGGGCCTGGGTAGGGGATGGGAGCCCTCTTTGGGGCGTCCAGGCCCAGTCTGACCCCCACGTGGTTGGTGTGGCCGGCCAGGGCAGGGCTCCGCTGGGCGGAGCTAGGCAGGCCGCGGGTTGGGAGGCGGGCTCCAGGGCGGGAGCGGCGCGGAAGCTCGGCCACATAAAGGAGCGGGCGGCGCGACTGGGGTGGCTCTTTCCTGGGTGGGGTTTGTGAAGTCGTGGCCCGTTAGCAGGAAGCCGAGCAGTCGCCCCGACGCTAGCGAGGTGCCAATCCGAGCCCCCAGCCCCCTGAGTCCGAGCCGAGCGTACTGCGTGCTCAGCGCTGCCCGACAGCTCCTTGCCAAACTTCGCCAACTTCGCCGCATTTGCTGCCACCATGCCCAAGACGGTGAGTGCCGGGGTGGGCGCAGCCGATCCCAGTGGTTCTAGATGACCCCTGTAGCCCCCTGATGAAGGCTGGGGGCTTGGTCAACTACTCTCCCGCTCGGGACGCCGCGCCTCTGGCAAGGCCTGGGGTGGGAAGGAGCGGGAGTGGAGTCCTGATATGGCGCGCCCTCGGTTAGGGTGGTGGTGGGGAAAGTGATGTGGTCCTGTGCCAGACTTGTGGACTTGGCATGGCTGGCCTGGTTTTTAGTTTCCAGTTCCCTGTGTCTGGGATGTGACAGTAGGGAAGGCTTCCTTGGGGATCCAAGTTCTTCTCTTGTCCCTGACAGGCCATGGGCAGGGAGAGGGGGGAGAAGAATTTGGTCCAGAACATGTACCCCAGTCCAGGAATTGGCGCCTTTCTGGGGCAAGGCTGGCACTGTCTAGGAGGGCCCTTTGGAACTGTGAAGCAAGGAGGAGGGAGGAAGATGCTAAGGGTGGATCCCGTGCCCCCACTCATCTTTTCCACAGCCTCCCCAGGGAACTCCAGCTGTTTCCCACTAGGAGGGGAGAAAGAGTTGAAGAGGTGACACTTTGAGGCTTCTTGCTTTTACCTAAGAGCGCTAAAATTTAACTAGGTACGAGTCTGAGGGGAGGTCTGCTCTACTTCCTAGGGGAGAAGACTAGTTTCTTCCTCCCTTCCACTCGTTAAATCTCTTCCCATTACTTAATGGCTCTCTATCTCTTTCTGTTCCCTCTAGATTATTCTGCGAGGTGTGGGTTCTCTCCTGTGGGGCCACACCTTTTTAGAGTGGTGGTAGCTTTCAGGATCTGGTCTCCACCCCACTGTCTGAAGCCTCCTGGGAGTGCAGCTTAGGGGGGCCGGATGCCCGGGAGGGAGGGGCTTGAAGGGGTGTGCCTGAATAATGAGCCCTGCTTGCTTTTGTGCAAGTCATGCCAAATGGCTGCTGGAGCCCTTCCCTTGCCCAGGAAGGCCTGATGACCACCCCGGTTTGAGTCACTTAGGCCAAGCAGCTTCTTGGGCTGGCCTAGGCTATGCAGTTCTCTGGGAACCCTCTCCCTGGGACTGCCCAAGCCTTGTAGAGCTGAGATAGTGACTAGTAGCCTTGAGAAGGGCCAAGGGTCTCTGGATGAGAGGAACAGGGATCCAGTTCTTTGGATGTGTGCTGAGCTTTGGTTGCACACTGTATTCTAGCCTTATTGCCAAGTCATTCTTGCCTTTCCAAAACCGTGTCCTTCAGAAACACCAAATTTTCAACAAATATTTGCTTCTACCATCTCTCTTTTAAATTGTTAATGGTTTTATGGCATGGGACTTTTCCACACTTGCCCCCCCCAAAAAAAAAAATCACACATGAAGTGAGAAAAAAATAGTTTCGAAAAGAGAGGGAAAAATACCTCACTGTCCCTGCCAACACAAAATCCTTCCGGGACCCTCTCCTTGGGTTTATCTCTCTGTAGTTGACTCCATGACTCCTCAACTCCTCATAAGGTGTGGTTTTGCCTAAATAGGTGGGTGGATCTCTGGGAATAGGCTATCCCATGACCTTTCTTTAGTGGCATTTCTCATTTTCAGTTCTGAGATATCTCACATTTTAACACAACTTGATGGGTCTGGAAATTGACTTAAAGTGGCCTTAACCATTCCATCTCAGTCAAAAGTGGCAAAGAAGATAGCATGGTGATTCTTTTCCTGGGTATGAAGAGAGACTAGAGTATGAGTTGTTTGAGGTCAAGCGTAGGATACTGAATGTACCTGAATACTGAAAGTATTTTTGTGTAGATTGACTGAAACTTGAATCAAGTTAGAAGGAGGGCTGAATTTTGATAGACTGGAATATTTGGAGAATTTCCCATGCTGTTTTGCTCAAGGAATGGTCAACTTCTAGGAGGAGCAACTATACCTTGCCTGTTAAGATGACAGAATCTTAACTTGAAAGGGACCTCGGAGTCTTATTGATCTAATAAACCTCTCTCCCTCCTTTCCATCTTCCCAACTACTGAGGATATTTAGGCCTACAAGAAAGGATCTACTTAAAGGCACATGGTAACGACCAAGATTGAGGTCCAGGCTTTTTGATGTTCCCTACGTTGACCCTCTATTCTGACTCAATGATTAGGTTCTTGAAATTGAGTCCCCTATCCTGCCCAAAGCAAATTTCCTTCTGTTATCAGGCCTTCCTGGTCCTTAGATAAAATGGAATGAATAATCTGGGCAAGGTAACCAACATTGGCATTTGTGGGGTCTCCTAATGAGAGTTGGGGGTGTCACAGGGTGTCTCCTGTCTTCTCATTCTTCCTCAATGATGAGATGTCCAGGGGCAAACCCTAGTTCACTGCATACCAGCTAGTAGCTTTAATGAAGAGAGAAAATTCCCTGTTCTCTGCTCCTTCTTCACTAGTGTGCTTTAGGCTATTTCTGGAGTATGACAGATAGGGAAGGGTAGTAGAAAAGTCAAATCCGTTCATTCATGTGAACCATGTCTACAGTCTGTTCAAAGTTGGTTTCACTTTTACAACCAATTGTCTCCCTCATTCAGCCTGACTCTGTTAAAACCTGTCCCTTCTGCACCCTCTCCTTGCCACTTCTAAGATTCTACTTCTAGTTGCTAGATTCTTATATCTGCTTTGGTAGCCAGAATGAAAACTTATTAACTGCCATCTATACTTTCTGATGATGATAAGACAGTTGCAAAAAAAAAAAAAAGTCTTTTTTCTTCTTACCCTGTTTAACTGTTTTTAGATCAGAAAGTCTTTGGGACACTCTTGGATTCCCTAAAAATACATTGTTTTGGATTTTCAAGGTGTCCTTGAATTTTTTGTTTGTTAGGGTTGAAAGGTTTCTTAACAACTGTCAATTCCAACTTGTTGTAGAAATGGGGAAACTGAGACCGACAGATAGGGAGGGACTGACCTAGAATAATGCAGCACGTCAATAGCAAAGCTGGGACTTGAATCTAGGTCTTAGTTAGAGGGTTAGTCTTGATAAAAACCTCTTCAGTTTGCTGAGTTTTTAGCCCTAACTCAACAGGTCAGGAGAAAGGTGATCAAGTAGTCATTGATGGGACCATCCATATCAGCAGACATAGAGCCCAGATCTTTGAAATATTTGAAGGCTTCTAGGTCTGTATTCAGCTAAACTTTAACAGGGGTTGTGTGGATTGTTTATTCTCCTGCCATTCCTAGCATTGCTTGAGCCACTCGAGTGGCACTAAAGTGGTACTTGGTGAATAGCAGGCAGAATCTCAGTCTTTTAACCCTTGAACTAGCCCTGCCTGCTGATTTCAGGGTGGGGCAACTGATCAGGAATGGAGGTTATGTGAGAGAAGTGTGACTCTTTGGATCCTGCATCTCTCTACTTCTTTGGTTCTCCAGTTCACCCGGCCCTTTGTGAAAGTGTAGATGATAGAGATAGAGCAGGGACCATCTTGGAAATTTCCTTTAGGTTTCTCCTTGAATAACCCTCTGGGAAAGGGGGCTGTTGGGGCAGGAGGGCCTTCATGGGATCCTTGAAGGCACCAACTAATCTATATTTTCTCATGTTAGGCTTGGAGAGGGGACAGTTACTCTGTGAGTGGGTGACAGAGATAGTATTGACCATTAGTCTGCTAACTCTCCATTATTCTCTAGCTGCCTGTAACAATAGCTTGTGTTAAGGGTATTCTTCTCTCTCTCTTCCTCCTCTCAGGAGACTGCTTTACTGAATGGTGCAGCTGGAAGGGACATTTAGAGGTCATTTGGTCTATCTCCTTGACTCCAAATCTAGTTCTTTTTGAATGAGATGACAGCTACATATATTCTAAACCTTGTTGCAATAGTGTGGCTTGGCAACGGTGTGTCTAGGTTCCTTTGTATCTTTCTGGGAGTCCCCCTCACTGGAATTTCTGGCCTCAAGATCCCCAGAGGGAAGAAGATCTGACTACCAACATTAGTGTTAGACCTTTCATGGCTAAAGTTACTGAAAATTGCCATCATTACTGGTTGAGAACAGTTTGTTTCTGATCTTTCAAAGATAGAAATGAGTTTATCATGTACATCTTTCCTAACTCACAATCTTTTCTGCCTGCTATTCCACCCCACTCTTCTGTCCCCATAGGAAAAAAAAAATGAGTACAAAGGTGGTCTCCTCTGGGGCAGTCTATTGGTCAAGTGAAGGAAGTGCTTATGTCATGATTGGCTGGCTTTACTGTTCATCTCTCCTCCCATTTCATGCTTGATAGAGCTGAAAAACTTTTCAATTCCAGATTCTGATTTGTGGTACAGGAATGGGCACTTAGAAGATTAGCTCAGGACTCCATTGATTTGGAAGGCGGGTGTTGGGAAGTGGCAAGTAACACTGATTTGAGAATTTTTCTTCTTTTTCTATATAAAAAGAACATCTTCTCTGTCCTCAGTAAACTAACCCAAATGAAGTAGGCCTTTAAGGCAAATGTCTTCTTCAGGCCCTCAGTCTGTCTAGCTTGTCATGAGGAAACTGTACTAGTAATAGGTATACTCTAGGGACTGTTCCAGTACTAATGTTCTTGAGACATCTTTCCTCAAAATTTGAGTGCCTTCTATGTACCATAGAAAGTTGAAGAGTACTTGCTAAAACGTATATTCTTGTCCTCGTAAACCTCTGGGGTGCTGTTTCTTCCTGGGTACTGAGTTCAGGATGGAGAGTTTATAGCTTGAGAGTTGGTTTATTTCATTAGTAGCTCTGACAAGAACACTGGCATGGGTGTTCTCGCCATTTCTTCTTGAGTTTATGGAGGGGAAAGGACTATGTCTTTCCTTACAAATGAACAAGAAAGAAACCAAATAAGACTATATTATGAAGACTGTGGGTTGATTGAAGAGCTTCATATAAAACAGAAAACTTCATGGGTTTCCCTCCCTTTCTTCTCACTGCCTGCTGGGTAGCATAGACTCCTTGTAGTTTTACTGAAAATGAAAAGTCAAGAAGCTACTAGGTTATATTTCCAATTTCCTTTTAACCCCATGAGTATGATTGTCAGATATATT